GTAATAATCACTTTAATGTAGCTTGTGCCAACAGTTGTACAAGCAGCTCCTGGCGGATGACGTATGAGTTCAGCGTTGCGCATGCGCCGTGAGTCTCGTGAAAACCAACGTTTGTTAACAGGAGCAAAGGAAGCAAAGTTTCTTTACTTTAGCAAAGGAAAACCAGTCTCCTCCTGGCCTCCTAGCCACAGCCATATCACCCTGCAGCCCAAGACTGGTTGCCCACTGAAGCTAAGCAGGGTTGAGCTGGTCAGTACCTGGATGGGAGACCTCCTGGGAAAACTAGGTTGCTAATTTATACAAATCTAAAAATTTAATTTTTATTTATTTTATTATTTATACCTTTATATAATTTACATCATTTATACACAAGTTATTTACAGAATTTATGAAAAAATATATAATTTATATAATTTACACCATTTATATACATTTATATGTACATTTATAACTTTTTTTATAAACACATTATGTTTATAAAAGAATTAAAAACTGAATCCTTTTTATATATCAAATATATTTATATATTATCATTTTTATATGCAGCGTATATGCAATTTAATGCCTTATTTATAAAGATCCAAAACTGGCTCTTTTGATTATATAACATATTGAGCTGTAACCACACAAGTGTACTATTAATAAACCCTATTATGCACTATTTCTGTGTGGGTGTTTTATTCCTGGAAGTGAGATGATTTTAGCAATTCCAGGTGTTACTTCAAACCTAAAATTTACTTTTATATTGATTATAATTAAATTATGTAAAGTATAATATTTGTTTTTCTTGAAATAGCTCTATAGCACATGCATCACAGCGCTGTCTATAAAATCTATTCATAACTAATATGTTCCTGTAATAATAAAAAACACTATTACTTTCTGTGTAAATTAGGCTCATTATACATTAAGGCATGTTCATGAGTTATTTTTCTTTTATATTATTTTATAGCTATTATGTACACTATTCTTTAAAAGTTTGGGGTCAGTAAGATTTTTTCTTTTTTTTTTAATAATACTTGTATTCATCAAGGATGCATTAAATTGATCAAAAGTGACAGTAAAACATAATGTTACAAAAGGTTTCTATTTCAAATAAATGCTGGAAAAAAATTAAATCCTGCAAAATAAAATGTATCATTGTTTCCACAAAAATATTGGGCAGCACAACTGTTTTCAACATTGATAATAATCAGAAATGTTTCTTGGATCATGTGACACTGAAGACTAGGGTTGGGTACCTAAACCCGGTACCAATATGGCACCGGTACCTATGTAACCAGTATGTACTAGAACCGAATCCGAACGCAGATTTCGGTGCCTCATTTCGGTGTCATGCCTGAGCAATCGATTTAAATATTTGTCCTCTGGTTCTCCGAAATGGACGTAAGAAGCATCAACTGGCACCGCACGTGAAAAATAAATTCCCGACTGAGAAAATGCACGTGAACTCAAGTCGGAAAGCTCTAATAATACAAATCCAACACATCTTTGTAGTAACGAGAGTGTCCATGTTGTTTTCACATTCCGACTTAAACGCACAACTCGGGAAATGAGAGCATCCGAGGAGCGTGTGAATGCAGTAATTACACTTGCTCTGATGGCAGCAGGTAGCCTTCCGTTAACTAAGCTAAACATGCTTAAATTAAAATGCCTAAAGCTAAACCTCCCTTGTATTCACATTTCTAAACCTGTTGTCCAACAAAAGAAAAAATGATAAACTTTTTACTCCACAACACCAGTCACATGCTTCCTTTTGTGATCTGATGAGGCTTCTTGTCACAGAATGAGGCAGAAAATATGTTCCACATGCTACTTTAAAAATAATACATCGATTCGCAATAAATTAGGGTGACCATACGTCCTCTTTTCGGACCTACAAAAATGCGTCCGGCCGGGAATTCTTAATTGCCCAAAATGTCCAGGATTCACAAAATTATAATACTATTTCACTTTTTTTTTTACTGTATTTTGATCAAATAAATGCAGCCTTGCAGCGCAGAAGAGACTCTTTCAGAAACATTAGAAAATCTTACCGACCCCACATTTCTGAACGCTAGTAGGGTATGCATGCTTTATTTCTGAATGCATATTAACATGCAGCTCTTTTATGTAAAGCTCTTTATGAATCAAGCTGTTCTAGTGTGACAGTGTGTGTATCTCTGCTGATGATCCGGTCATATGAAGTGTGAGTGAGCACCTGTGAGTGTGTGTCGAGTGCTCTCTCCGCGGGCCAGTCTGCGTCCCGCTCCGGATCCTGCTCTCGCTCTCGGTCGCGGCTGCGGGTGCGATGTCTGCTGCCCTGGTGTGTGTACGAGCGGGACGCTTTCTGCATCAGCGCCTGATCCGGCCCCTCGCTCGACACCTGACCAATCACACGCCGCACAGCGCTGTCAATCACCTCCACATCAGAACAGCACAACAGAGAACAACAGCCCCGCAAACAAGCATAATACTTGTTTTTTATTTTTTAATACTCTTTTTATTCTCTTGTTTTATTCTTTATTATTATTATTATTAACCAGATTAGACAGTAAAAACACTGATAGTTTTTCACAACATCATATTATTATTGTTTTTAATATATTATTTTATCATATTATATATATATATATATATATATATATATATACACACACACACACAGTATATATACAGTGGGTACGGAAAGTATTCAGACCCCCTTAAATTTTTCACTCTTTG